AAAACCTTATCAACTAAGGCTTTTGATGGACATCTTAAGGGGATGAGTATTCTTGATATGTCACACATACTCTAAGAAGGGCAAGTGGGAGATTGTTAGTTTGATGCCCATTCTTCGAGTAACGTTCTGTAAAATCACATTATGAATTTACGTTCGTTTATTTGCGTGTTATAATTTGAAGTTATTGTCTAAGGTTCCATGATCATATAGGATGTCACAAATTGTATACTTGATAGATCGGGTATAGTAAGACACAATTTGTGATATGATCAAAATTATGTCGTTCATAATCGGTTCATAGAGTTGGACACTTTCTGTTGATAAGATTGTATTGTTCTTATTAAGATTTGTCTAGATCTTGAAATAAGAACAATAATGTGTTTCGATGCACATTGAACGGAATCGCGTAGATGACTCATTTGTGACTGTTTGAAATGAGACTCTACTTGATTATCAAACAGGTCACCTAAATCCTGAGTAAGTAATGTACCTTTGATTGCTAGTTCAAGTTCTTTGAGGTACCAATGAGTGAAGTCTTAAACGGAAGATTGATCTCGGTGCTTTGGAAATCGGGCTGAAATAATTAGAGATCATATACTTACAATATTGGAATCCATTAATCATTGAGATGAGACGATCGTTATTCTAAGATATTTTCCTAGGCAAATTGAATATGAGATCAGTAGGTCGACGATGAGATCGTAGGACTTTACATTGTGATTTGATCACAACGAATTTGCCGTATGAAAATGGAACTTAGAGGGTAATACATGTTGAAGGGCAAAACGATCATTTTGCCAGTTTCAACATATTGACGGTCAAATGGGGGTTGACTTGTGGAACGATAATCAGAGAATATTGTTGTTGGATCATAATTTGCTTCTATAGCTATCACTCGACTCAAGAGTGTAATCTCGATTTTTTGGTAAAATAAGTCGGGATTAATATATGTATCTCAATTGGTCAAGAGTTGACCCAATTGAAAACATCTATTGGAGCTTGGGTCATGTGAGTCCAATTAGGTCCCTCTTTTGGCTCCAATAAAAGGTATGTGACTTAATTGGCCTACTACAATAAAGTCTAAGGAAATTTGTTCAATTTCTAAACACTAATAGGTTATTATAAATATGCACTTTATTGGCATATTTTGGTGTGATTTTAGGATTAGCCACTTTTCACATTCTCCAAAAAGGAGTAACACCTAGTGGAGAACAAGGGAGAAGACCTAAGGGAGAAAGCAATTGACTAGGCCATTAATAGCTCCTTAAAAAAGGTTATCATCTCCTCTTTCTATATATATGAGGATTTTATAATTCAATGAAGTCAAAGTTAATTAAATCCTTATTTACATTATTTTAATCTTACAAAAAAAAATTAATTTCGTGATGATTAAAATTCATTAAACAAAAGCTAAGGTTGTGAAACACGACAGAAAAGCCTTTTTCCCCCTTCAAGATCAACGGTGCCCGGAAATACACCCTTCGTTGAGTTTGACTTTCTGGAATCTGCATTTGCTATCGGGGTAAGCCCCAGAAAACTCTGTATAATGAATATCTTGTTCTGATCCATGTCAATGTATTGCTCCTACGATTTGATTTCCGGGTTCTGTTAGAATCTAGTATGAATGGACTATGAACTACGTTTATTTTCCTCGTAAAGGAGTGGTGAAGATGAATCTTGAAAAGGAGTTATGTATTTATTGAAGATGGTACCCAAGATATTTAGTATGAATCATGTAAACATCAATAGGATTTATGTGCATACTAAGAGCGCGATATTAGACAGATAGGCAAGTTTGCGTAGCTTAAAAGACAGGAGAACTCTTGTTGGCTTATTTTGGCAGTATTAAGAGTGCGATACCAAGGCCAAACATGCTCTATGAGTACAAAATTCTTAAATTGTATTTTGCGGAACAGCTTTCAGTGCTCGGAGAAATCTTTTTTTAAAATTTGAAAGGTGTTATCCATGTTTTAGGAAACTCTGTATGTCTTTGGTATATTTCATTGAGCTCCGATATTTCTTGTTAGAATCCTTAGGTTCGGTTGTATAAGTGTTGAATTACTTTGATCTTTCCTTCCATCTAATCCGGACTGTATCATTTTCTATTTTGTCATATGTAGATCAGTGAATATGACTTCTGGAACTACAAATACAGATAGGAAATGCCTTGGCTGGGCAGCTAGAGATCCTTCTGGAATTCTTTCTCCATACAAATTCAGCCGAAGGTATGCGTCTATCAAATTTTTCTTTCCAGGAAACAAGCCTAAGTTTGATTAAAGGGTATCATTTCGTCCACAATCGAGAATCGCAGCCTGCACAATATAATCTGTCTCCCGGTAGATGTTCTCATTTGGAGGAGAATAAAATTTGTGTTTCTTTTACTTGGATAAAGAGATAAAATGGAAATATCGGGTTTCCTTGTTGGATTTTCTGTGAACTCAGAATACTTATAGTACTGCCGACTGAAATTTTTAAATCTTTATGCCACAATTGCCTGCTTCCAATTTGTTTCATCTCATGACAAAAACACTATAAATTTGATAGACGCATACCTTCGGTATTCAAGTTTGACAAAAACGCTACAAACACTACCTAAGTGTATTCAAGTTTTAATTTTTTACCTTGAAATACTTCTTTGTCATACAGGTATGGTTTCTATCGCAGCATTCTTTATAAGCAAACTGTGTTCCTGTTTATAGTTTTTCACCTCTCAGATTACACATTTCAACAGGGCTATGGGGAGCGATGATGTTTCACTAGACATCGCATACTGTGGCGTTTGTTATGCTGATGTTGCTTGGGCACGGAACAAAATGGGACATTCGAAGTATCCTTTAGTGCCTGGGTAAAAATGTGCATCAATTTATATAAAGCAGAAAATCAATGCCAATTTGCATTTGAACTCTTATTTCTAACTGATTTGCTGTTCCTCTGCCTAACAGACATGAGATTGTTGGGATCGTTAAAGAGGTTGGTTCGAATGTTCAGCGCTTCAAAGTTGGTGACTGTGTTGGAGTTGGAACTTATGTTAACTCTTGTAGAGAGTGTCAATATTGTGATGATGGATTAGAAGTTCATTGCTCTAAGGGAGCAGTTTTCACATTTGATGGGATAGATGTTGATGGTACTGTCACTAAGGGAGGATATTCTAGTTACATTGTAGTCCATGAGAGGTGAGTAGTTTGTTCTTTTGAACACTTTTGCAAATGCGAAGACGGAAGAGAAGTCATTAGATTTTCATTAATTTTTTGAGTTTTCTGTAGGTATTGCTTCAGGATACCCGAAAGCTACCCACCGGAACTAGCAGCACCTTTGCTCTGTGCTGGTATTACTGTTTACACTCCCATGATAAGGCATAACATGAAACAGCCTGGCAAGTCTTTTGGGGTGATTGGGCTCGGTGGACTCGGTCACCTGGCTGTAAAATTTGGGAAGGCTTTTGGATTGAAGGTAACAGTTTTTAGCACAAGTATATCCAAGAAAGAAGAAGCTTTAACTCTTCTTGGAGCAGACAATTTTGTAGTCTCCACCAACGAACAGCGGATGAAGGTAATTAAGCTACTACAATGTTTTTGGAGCAATTTATTTGGCTTTTCAGTGTGTACCTATCAAATCACTAGTCAAATGATGGATTGAAAATGGTGATTAAGGAACTAACAAAGTTGGTTTGAACTTGATGGATTATCAGGCTTTGTGCAATTCATTTGACTTCATACTGGACACAGCATCTGGAGATATCTCATTTGATTTATATTTGTCATTGTTGAAAACTGCTGGTGTCCTTGTTCTGGTCGGGTTCCCGAGCGAAGTGAAGTTCAGTCCGAGTAGCTTAAACTTGGGTATGAAATTGTACCAAACTTTTGAATTATATATTGTATATCAGTAATTTGCTCTTGTTCTTTTTCGCGATTGAGATGAGACTCGCCTTTAAGAATTTTAGTTGATTTGTTCCTTGCAGGTGCGAAAACCATTTCAGGAAGTATAACTGGTGGAACAAAGCAAACGCAAGAAATGCTGGATTTTTGTGCTTCCAACAAGATTTACCCAAACATAGAAGTAATTCCCATCCAATATGCAAATGATGCTCTAGAGAGGATGATCAAGAAGGACGTGAAATATCGTTTTGTGATTGATATAGCAAACTCTCTCAAGTAAATAGAGACGGGTTCCCTTTCACACTGGAAGACTCATCCTATATTGATCAAAAGCATGAATAGCAGGTATTTGGAATAATTACCGAAGCATCCAAAGTCAATCAAAAGCATGAATAAAAATTTTGGGATTATTACCCCAGATTTGCTAAATTAATTTACTTTATATTGTACCATTACAGTATCAATATAAGATGATGCATAAAACAATCGTGCATATTTGCTAAGGTGGATTAGGAAGTACTGTGTTAAAAAAAAAAAAAAAAAAAAAAAGGGGGTGGGTTTGTATGGGCACTGTTCCTATGGTCGCGTGCCCTCCAATTTCTTTTTCTATTATTTTTTCGTAATTTTTTTCTTGACTGAACATTAATGTCAAAACAACGCAGTTTCATGTCCACTGTATTTACCATAAATGCTCTGCGACTCGCGCGCTATATTTCTCTCAGACGTCATATAGTTTCAGCTTTCCCATTCCTTTTCCTTTCCTTTCCTTTCCCTTCCTTTACCCTTTCTTCGACTGAAACCCTCACCAACAACTACACCGTAGCCATGTCACCTTAACACTTCAATTAGCCGCAGGTGTCAACTTTGTATCCTTGGCCGAAGCTAATATGTAACGCCCTGCCTCAACATCTCGATAGACCCCCTTCACATTCTTGGGCATTTCTAATGATTCCACTGCTTTTGGCATTTTTTGAGGATATATATCAAGATTATTTCAAGAATTCACACTTTTGAAGTTGGGTTCTGCTGTTGCTGAGCCACATTGCCCTACCCTACCCATCTAGTTGGAAAATTTTGTTGATGTAAGCTAAATTAATCATAAAAAGTACTTGTTTTAGCTGCCAAAAAGGGTTGGCCAACCTAAAAACTGGTTGTGCCCCTCTAACCAAGACTAACTAGAGTTGTAGAGTGTCTCTTACCTTCCCAAATAAAGTCTCTCTGCAAAAACAATTGCTGAAAAGATCCCCACAATAACAAGGATTAAGGGACTAAACATTGCTGCAAAGACCCGTCCCTTCTTACTGATACACCATGTTTGCAGCCAGTATACCAACGCTGATATCACAACTCCCTGTTAGTAATCAGATTGCCTGTTAATAAAATGTTATAAACGAAAATATATAGCATGCTAGGGGGATGTGCGAAAAGAAATACACACTTACACAATATACAATGGCCAAAAGCTGTATGTTCCAATCTAGCTTCCATAGGTGTGGATTTCTTGCCCAAAACATGGTCAGGATTGATGATTGTAGAGAGGCAAAAATACAAATCAAAACATTTAATGAGAACAGCGCAGGATAGATCTTGTAAACCGTTGCCTGTGAGTTTTCAGTGATCGACAATCAGGATGGTTGGTGTAAACTTAATAAAAGAAGCTACATATAACCAACCACTTGATAATATAAGAAACAAGGAGAAAAGTTGTTTATAGTATAAAGATGATGAAATTTCTGTATAACCATGCACCTGGAGAATGATCCGTGCACTCAATGCTACCTCGCTAATTAGTATAAGGAGTGCACCTTTGACCCAATTTTCCTTATGATTCCTCGACTCACCTGTAGAAACTTCGTTGTGCTATAGTGTATTGAAGTAGGAAAAGGGCTAAAAATTTTCTTCATTGTATTGATTATACCTTCAGTGTCGTACAGCTGGACTAAGGGCTTTTGCTTAAAACTTGTGAATAAGCGTTTTCCTTTACAGAAGGTAAAAATAAGTGATCCGCCTATGCAAACCAGTGTTCCAAACAGCTTAGCTTTACCTCTATTACTGCCTAGTTTCTTTGTTTCCATCCTGAGTAGGAGACGGTATTAACATATGACTCTTATGTACGAAAAAGGCCAAAAATTGAGCCTTATTCTCAATCATTTGAGTCCGGCTACATAAATCTTTATTTAGCCACTCTGTTCGTTTCTTGGCTAGAGAAATTAGAATATATACCCAAGAACAACAGCTATGAGAGTGGTCAAACTGGGCATGACATTACTCAAGGCGCTTCCGACCGTCGGGGAAGTATATTCAAGACCAGTATAGTAGAGATTTAGATGGACCGTCGTCCCCATGGATGAAAGCAAGAATATCTTCATTGCCATACGAAATGAGAGAGTTGGTCGTGTTTTCCTGCCATATAGTTTACATGAATTGAATAAGTAATTCATCATCGTGGCGTGTGCATGTGCGGGTGTGCTTGTGTATATGCATATGTGTGTATACTATATATGATGGCTAAGAGCTTGCCTTTCAAAAATATATGCAAAGGGGCTTAAAACAAGAATGGCTATTAAGTGGCGATAAACCACAAAAACGATCGGATTAAGTCCTTTCTGAAGGGCTAGTTTCATGATAATATTTGATACACCATATGCAATTTGAACTACCACCATTGCTATATATGAGGAGCTAAAGCTTTTCATGGCTGAACAAATTCTGTATTTAGAGTTGAAACTTGCTTGTAAATTAGTTCAAGGCTTGATTATATACAAGTTTAACATACTGTTTAGTTAGTGGAATTCCTTGATGTGATGAGCTAGAGAACACCACGTTGTAAATGTTTTGCTATGCTCAAAATATTCATTTATAAGTTCACTTGTAAGTGGATTTATATCTTTGTTGGTCAAACTTCAAAATAATGAACTTATTTTGCACTCCTACCTTAGTATATGAATAAATAATGTCTTTACTTTAGCTTAAGAGTTAGTAATTATAAGCTGTACTAGACATGTAAGTTATTATCTTAGAAGTAGCTTATGTAAAAGCTCTTGACTTGAAAGTAAATTTAAGCTTGGCCAATCTTGCTATGTCCTCGTAGGTTCTCATTCTTATTCATATACGATTGATCGACAATTTCTTTAATATATGCTCTGCTTTTTGTTGGATTAGTTATCTTTGAATAATTTTGGAAATGAGATAGATATAAGTTCATGCAGTGGTTACACTAATATTTATTTGGCCGTATGCATGAGAATGACGTAAAGAGAATGCCCTATTTGCAGAATATGTTCGTGTTTCACAAGAAGTTCACATTAATCTTTGTTGTAAAAATGTAATAATTTAATACATCATTGAATGCAAAAGAAAGGAAGTATTAGAACACAAGAAATTTACGAGATTCAATAAGGGCGTGTTTGATTGTCATTATTTTTCATATAAAATGTGTATTTTTCCATCCAAATTTTTACTTTTGCGTTTTTGACTTACACTTTTTTTCATGGAAAACATTTTTTTACTTTTAGTCATGTGATCATATTTTCTTCAAAATCAAGGAAAATATTTTCTTTAGGGGAGTATGATTTTATTTTCTAGGGAATTTACACACTTCCTCTTATCTATCCATCAATAAAAAATGAACATGTATAATATTTTTTAAGTTTAAAATTAAATCAATCAAACATATTTAATTGACAGTTTCGATGCAAATAAATTTTAGGCGATTGAATTGTCTAGAATTTTTTTTTTAATACAAATTCTATGTTTATAATCAAAAGCACTCTAAACGTTACTTTTAAGTTTCCAAACATCAAGCTTGTTTGACCAGTCGAATGGACAGATTCATTATTGCGAACAAGATTGACATGCTAGGTGCAAGACCTGTAGACCGACTATTAAGCTTGTTGGTACTGGTTCAATGTAGTTAAAAAATATGAAGATAATTCATTACAATGCTCCATTAAATCTAATAATAAGGCTGAATGTATATGAAAATCAGTCATTCACAATCACTGATGAAGGATTTCTCGAAAAGTTAAGGATTAATAATCTTTTTTAGAAATCGAATAGATTCGGTCTTATACATACGCAAGGAAGGTAATAAAAAAAGAAAGAAGATGAGTTCTTCTTTCTTTTATCGCTTAGGAGCTATGTGAGATGAAAGTTTCATGCACGATTTTGAATGAGAGAAGTGACGAATCTTTCACAGATTTCCTATAGGGTCTCCCTGTAAGTGACACTTCTCTAAATATAACTATGTTTGAAAATAAGGAAAATGAATAATTGCAGTTCCTTATTATCGTAGTTGTCCTGTGTGACCGTCACATGTACGCTACGTGAAACAATTACAGTAGTGAGTGACTGCAAATAACATCATTCAAAGAAAATCATGTAAACTACATATTTGAAATTAAAGGAAATCAGGTAAATTTCAATTTCACTCGTGAACTTAAATGAAATTCAATTGGCTTATTTAGCTTTACTTTATCTGAATTGCGTTACTGAACTTTATTTAGTATGAAATTGCTGAGACGTGCTCAATATTATTGACTTGTTTGAACTTAGATATACATATTCTTGTTTTTGACTAAAGGGTAATTGGCGAAAACTTTCATAATCTTTGTTTCTATTGCATAATACTCCTTATCCTTTTAGATTGGCGAAAAACTCCCCTAGATGACTTTTACGTATGAAAGAACCCTACTGTTTAAGTTCGTTACTAGAGCCGTTAAATTCACTTATGTATAGAGAGGCTGGCCAAAATAAAAAACGAATAATTGCAATTGTGGTTTAACATTTTTTATTTTCTTGCAGATTATATCCGAACCTTTTATTTGTAACCTCACAACTCTATATATTTAAAACTTCATCTTTTCCCCAATCCCACCTCACCTCACCTTACCTTTAAAACTTCATTTTCTTCTCCAATCCCACGCTTCCTCCACCCCATCCCCAAATCAAAACCAATCAACCAAAAAAATTAAAAAATAAATTAAAAATCAGCAAAAATTATGACGTAAGATGAATGATTGATTGTAAAGATCCTCCCGGATAAAAGAATATCGAATAATTGAACTTCACCATTTTAGAGATGCAAAAGGGAAAAAGAATATCGACTAATCATTTTTGCAAATACAGCTAAAAAAAGTAGAAGGACATAAAGAGCAAAACAATTATCCGAATACAAAAGTCACTTATTTTAAAGCAAAATCACTTTCTTCACAATAATAAAATTTACCCAAAGTATGCCATCCGTGGATATGACAAAAATCTTCTACCTGTGGATATGACTAAAATGTTTCATAAAGTTAAGCTCCCGTTTGGTGGAGCTTTTTGGCAAAATCTATCAGATTTTGATAGATTTGAGTGCATTTTTTTTTAATTGAAAAAATCTGAACCTTTGAATATGAAAGTTTGGGTGAGTAGTTGTAGGATACAATTTTTTTCCAAAATGTCAAATTTACCCTGAATTATTTTTGCACAATTACTTTTTTGCCCCTCTTCATTCACAGACGAGCACTATTAGAAGGGGAAAATAGACTTATACTGTGTAGCCACTATTGTTGATTTTCCAATCTTTGAAGGTTGCCATAGTTAACCATTATTATTCCCTTTTTTTTTTTTTTTTTTTTTTTTTTTTTTTTTTTTTTTTTTTTCCCCAAAAACCAAAGCCGAGCCTATTCTCATTCGGAGTTGCTCAAGCCTATTTATAGCCCAAGTTACACTGAAAAGATAATTAAAGTAGTTGTACGCTCATTTTGTATAACTAATTTGACATTATTTGATGTGACAAAAGAGATATCGTTGATTGTTTTAAATATTGTTGAAATTAATGTCAAAATTGTGTATCATATCATGGAGTGTAAACAAAGTTGTCAACCAAAATTGTAAATGTGTGTGCGGTTACAAATATAGAATTTATATGAAAAGAAAATAAATTCTAGACAATTAAATTATCTAAAAATTATTTATATGAAAATTGTCAATTAAATGTATATGATTGATTTTATTTTTAATTTACAAAATGTTATACTTATCCATTTTTTTTAGTAGGTAGATGAGAGAGAGAGAGAGAGAGAGTGTGTGTGTGTGTGTGAAAAATAAAAAGCTACCCTCTTGAAGAAAATATTTTCTTTGTTTTCAAGGAAAATATGACCACGTGATCAAAAATAGGAAAACATTTTTCTTGATAAAATATCAATCAAACAGCACAAAAGTAAGAATTTGTGGTAAAAAAATATTTTTCACGAAAAATATTGAAAATAAAATGCACTCTTAAGTGTAACAAAACTGCGGGAAAAAATATGTACTGAAAATATGGTTTTTGTGCAGTTGGTGGAAATCAAAGAACGTAGTAATCATTGCAATCAGTTAAGGAATTAAGTTACTTGTGATGCTAATGTTTACACCTTTGTTGATAGATGATGAGGTGTTATGCATTTTGATTCTTGATTTGAATAAATAAAATTTAAATTAATAGTCAAAATGCATGTCACCTCATCATCTGTCAAACTTTTTGTCAAATTAATTATACATGCAGTATAACCGTCAATCATGCCGTATGTACATCATTTTTACATCAATTATTTTTTTTTCCTTATTTTAACATTGTGTCACGTGGTACCACACTATTAGACAGAGTTTAAAAAATAAACAATTTTTTTTCACTAATCAAATTTTGCCAACTGGAGTAACGTCCAAGATGATGTACACTTTAGGTGTACAAATGACTTTTCCCAATAAATTTATACAAGAACCAAGTAGATGGAAAGCTAAATGAAGAAAATACTAGTATCATCGTGCTTTCGAGTTAATTGTCCCAATGGTAAGTGAACTTATGTATGCCTTTAATCGCTCGTTGAAATTTCAAATATTGAATTTTGGTCACTAAACTTATACAAACGTTGGACATTATTCATTGCCTTTAAAATGTCAAAATTTGACCACTAAACTTATAAAAATGATATCGATTTGTTATTCATTAAAAAACGTGGCTAATGGAATACACATGTGACAGGGAGCCACATGTTCATTTTGTTAGTCACGTCACTAATTCCTTTAAAGATTTGAAACGGATGTTAAATTAGTGAGTAAAGTTCAACATTTAGATAATTTTAACAATCAAAACTTGACATCCTAAATTTCAGTGAACAATAAAAAATATAAACATAAGTTCAGTGACCACCAAGACAATTAACTCGATTAAAATTTCAGTTATGAATAATCAACTTCACATTTAAACATAAAACTAGTACACCCAAAAATCGTGCTTGTTATGTAACTGAGCAAAATTCGCAGTTTAAACTTTTAATGCCGTGTTACTGAAGTATTTGGGGGGGGGGGGGGGGGGG